TAATAATAATAGCTAATTGAGCTGGGCATGGTGGTGCACACCTGTAATCCCAGCACTCCAGAGGCAAAAGCAGGAGGATCACAGCAAGTTTGAGGTCAGCCTCGGCTACATAGTAAGTTCAAAATCAGCCTGAACTGCATAGTAAGACCCTATCTCAAAACGCCCCCCCCCAAAAAAAAGCTAATTGTTACATGTTCTTGCTGTGTTCCAGGTGGTTTATTTATTTATTTTTTTTCCTTTGGTACCGGGGATTGAACTTGGGTCTTTGCGCTTGCAAGGCAGGCAGCAGAACCACTGAGCTAAATCCCCGGCCCTGTTCCAGGTATTTTAAAGTGATCTCTGATAAGCTTATTTGACTCTCATAATACCCAGAGAAATCAGACATCATTATTATTCCCACTTTACAGATGGAGAAATAGAGGCAGGGAGGATCAAACAATTTGCTCAAGTTCTCATGGTTTTGAGGAGCAGAGCTGGAATTTGGTCTGGGTGGAGGTTTAAGCCCTGCACCTGGGCCTGTTGGGAATCACATCCATTGCACAGCTGCAGGGACTGGGTCAGGCCAGGGTGGGGCCCCCGTCTGGTGCTCCTACCACTCCCCTCCTAGAATCCAGTGGAGGCAGGGGATTGGCTCAAATTTATTTTTGCTAAGGCTTCTGATAAATGTCTGCAAATGTCTATTACATTCTTATTAGCTCCTATTTCTGTCCATAGAGAAAAAACAAAATACAGGGAATTATCTTCTAAGTATTTCTTTTTCTGTTTGTAAACCAAAAATAAAAGAACACACAGACCCGAATAACAAGCAAAAGATAACTGCAAATGAAGAAACACAAATAATAAGGAAATGAAAAAAGTTTTATCTTACTTATGGCCAAAGGAACAAATAGAAATAATCCTCTGCCTTTCCCTCCTCTAACTTTCTCACTGTGTGATCAGAGCTGGCTTGGCTGGGACTCTGGGGAACAGGTTCTGCCATTCCCTGATGTGAACCCTTCCCCTGCTAATTGGGTAATATATATTAGAAGCCTTAAAAGTTCCCACATGCTTTGATCTGGAACAGATCCTGAAGAAACAGTCTAGGATGTATACAGAGATTTAATTATAAGTGTATTTACCAAAACATTGTTGATGGTAGTGAAAACGTGAAAGCAATTTCAGTGTCTGACAATCGGGCTGGTGATATATCACAGTGGATTACTAGGCAGTCATTAAAAAATAATGTTGTGGAATATAATATTTAATGGCATAGAAAGATGTACATGATAAAGTGTTAAGTGAGGGAAAGCAGGTTACAAAACAGAGAAATTAGTGAGGGCGATAAGACATGAGCATAAACAAACATGAGTTGGAGCCTAGACGGCAGGGGGAAAAAAGTACATGCCCTGAATCTAGATTGCAGAATTGAAACCCCAGCTCTGCAAAAAAGAAAAAAAAAATTAGCTATGTGAGCTCAGGTAGGTGACTCAACCTCTCTGGGCCTTCACGGCCTCATTTGGTAATTGGGGATGCAAAATAGCATCTATCTGAATAAGGAAGCACATATATAGTGCTTGGAAGAGTGCCTGATACATTGGAAGTCCAAATTTTCAGTGCTGTCTGGAATCTGAGGAAAAGCAGCGCTCACTTTCTTGCAGGAGATATGGGTCCACTTCAGAGATGGCGGCACTTGCTTTTGCGGAATTGTTTCGGTCTTGAACAATGAGGGGCCTCTGTAGGTGGAGCAAGAGCAGGGGTGAAAAGTTTCTCCCAGGAGGCTCGAGACAAGGCTTGCCCAGATTCTTGCCCAAGCCTCTGCTCCACTGAGCTGCAGTGGCCTTGGGAAGTTCAGAGCTCCTGGGACCAAGGGAGGTTACTGTGGAGGTTGCTCTTGGTCTCCGCAGCAGCCCCCCTCTTGAACAATGAGGGGCCTCTGTAGGTGGAGCAAGAGCAGGGGTGAAAAGTTTCTCCCAGGAGGCTCGAGACAAGGCTTGCCCAGATTCTTGCCCAAGCCTCTGCTCCACTGAGCTGCAGTGGCCTTGGGAAGTTCAGAGCTCCTGGGACCAAGGGAGGTTACTGTGGAGGTTGCTCTTGGTCTCCGCAGCAGCCCCCCTCTGCGCCTAGGTGGGGCGTTTCCTTTGCTTGTCTGTGCCCTGCATTTCCCATTTTGCTAAAAGAAACTGCCTTGCCAATTTCAATACACAAAGTGAAGCCTTGTATTTTAAGAAATGCACATGCTTTTATTTTGTTAAATAAAATAGTTGTGTTTCAAAAAAAGTTTCTGCCAAGCCAAACTTTAGGCAATACATTTACAGCATTCTTGTGCATTGGAGCCTCAAGTGACCATTTAAGTCACACAACTGATAGTGGAGAAGGTAGCAGGAGTCTGGAAAGTTTTGCTCTGGAGGGCAGGGTAGCATTGTGCTGAATTCCTGGCTATGAACTCCCACTCAGGTACTGCAGACAAACCTACAATCCTTGTACTGGGGTCAGGGGAGCAAAAGGAGGCAGATTTGCTCAAGATGAAGATGATTTTTTTTTTGTACCAGGGATGAAAAACTCAAGACCTTGTGCTTCTGAGGCAGGCAGTAGAACCACTGAGCTAAATCCCTGGCAATTGAAGATTTTTGTTTTGATGGGCAAAACTAATCAGAAAAGAAGCAATAGCAATAGTGGATAGACAGTGAGCTTCCCATCACTAGGGGCATGTAAGCCAAGGCTGGAGGACTCTTGGGAAATGGTGCTGCGAGATTCCTTAACGTCTGGTTTTTCTTCCAGCTCTGGGATTGCACTGTTCCACGACATTTTATTTTCTTTTTTAAAAAGTTAATTATTTTAACAATGAAAGATTTCAAACATACAGAAATAAAGGGAGAAATAATATAATAGAAACTCATGGTACTATCCAGCTCTAAGATGTTAATATTTTCCTGTATTGGTGCAGCCCTCTCGTCTGTTTCTAAGGAAAAATAGCCACAGAAACAGCTCAAGCCCCCGTGTTTTCTTTCCTTTTCAGAGGTATCCATTAGCTGTCAGTTTTTCTTTTTTATTAGCACGTTTGCATTGCACAATGATCACATTCCCTGCGGGGACTTGGTACATGTACGTAGCACATTTCAATTCTTTTCTCATCCCTCCCTCCTCCCTTCCATCTTTTTTGTTGTTGTTGTTGTTTTACTTTTGAAATTAGAGCATTCACAAACACTATGTAGGGTTGCCTTTTGTGTTCTCAAAACTAACGTCAATAGTGTTTTACTGACAGCATCTCTTTGCAACTGATGTCTTCCATTTAATGTTGTTTTCAGACTTAACCATGTGGATGCACAAAAATTTAGTTCATTTGATTTCAGCAGTAGCACAATCACTCATTGTATGAATGAACCCGGCGTGACTGATTTATTCTGTCTTCATGGACATTTTGGTTGCTTCCCAACTTTTCTTTATCACAATATCTAAAAGTGAAAAAGCTGGATTATATGATGCGCACATCTTTAACTTTACCAGATGTTGGCGAGGTGCTCTGGAGAGCGCTACACCCATTTGTAGGCTCGTTAGCAGTGGAAAAGTTCTGATTCTTTCCACCCTCCGAAATATGTGATGTTATCGGCTATTTTAATTTTTGCAATCTGATAAGCACGAAAAGTTATTTCAGTGTTGCTTGCATTTATTTTCTTCCCTGCCTCCCTTCTGCTCTTCCCTCCTCTCCTTCTCACTCCATTGCTCTCTGCCCCAGAACCCCAGGTACCCTAGTCTGCTTGGCTCTAAAAGAAATGCTTCTAAACATCGGCCATTGAGTTTTCGTAAATACGTCTTACCAGGCTACAGTTCCCTCCCTGGTTTAAGAGGTTTATTAAAATCCCAAATTAATACTATGGGACTTTCATCAGCTCTCTTTTAAAATCGAGAGAAATGCTCGCATGGTCATTCTATTTTAATTTGTTAGTCTGGCTAATTAAAATGATAGGTTCTTTTCTTTTTGCCTCACTGGTAAAAATGAGTCAAATATTTCAGATATAATTGAAGCCCTATGTGCTCTGAACAGAACCCGTTCGCTTCCTTCCTTCTCCTGCAGGAAACACCACCCTCAATTCAGTGTTTACCATTCTCATGCATATTTTCATACCGTTGCTACATATGTATGCGTCATAAACAATATGTGGTGTTGTTCTGCATGTTTTCAAAGTTTATATAAATGGTGTCTTACTATGCATATTCTGCAAATTGCTTTTCCATTTTGATACTTAGCTGTAGTTCACAATGACACTGCATTGTGTCACTGCATGGTGATACATTCTTGTTTAGAAACACGATACTTTTAAAACATTTTAGTTACTTCAAATCACGGTACAGATAAACGTCTTATAAAAGATTCTTCCCTGAACAATGCAAGACTACCTCTTATATTTTTTTCTCCCAATGTTGTTAAATATGACCAATGTTAACATACGCAAGGAAATGTAATTAGAGATCTGGTTTTTCATATTCTCACCAAAATTTGGTGTTATCAGGCTCTCCATGTTTGCTAGTTTTGTAGCTACAGAATGATATCATAGCATTGTTTTAATTTGAATTTCTACAATTTGCTGGTATCGTACATATTATCATATATCTCCTCATTGCTCGATTCATATTTTTGTCCTCTTTTTTTACTGATTTTAAAACTAAAAATATGTGTATATTCTGAAAGTTAATCATTTATTAGTAATATACATCACAGAGCTATTCTCCTAATCTGTGACCTGTCATTTCTTCTAGCCTTTTAAAATTGTGAAACGAAACCTATAGTCAAAAAGAATCTTAAGACACAAACATGTTCACTATAATTGCACAATGAACACCGATGGGAATTACCATTCATTCAACTGGATAAGTAGGATGTTGTCACTTTCAAAAACCTCTCACGTATCCCTTTCTGCAAGTATAGTATTTATATTAGTTGGGTGTAAATTCAACTATCCTGATTTTTATTGGTCACACTCTGCTTTTCTATCTACTTTAGCCACCTTGGAAGAATCCTGAAACATTATAGATTTAGGGTTTCCTTCTTTTGAATCTCACATAAGTGAAATCATGTTGTACCTTCCTTTGTGTCCTGCTTCTGTGACTCGGTCTGTGTTTGTAAGATTAGTCCTTGTTGTGATATGGACTTTAGCTCCTCATCTCTGATAGTGCTGTTTGATCAACTGAACATTCCACAGTGTATTTGTCTGTCCTACTGTTGATTTTCTTCCTTCTTGGTTTTTAAATAATTCAATCAACATCACAATGAACTTGTTGTTCATGTTTCAGGTGCGCATATGCGTGAGTTTCTCCAGGGACTAGAACTGGGAAGGGAGTTTCTCAATCATAAGGTATGCATACTTTCGACTTGATTAGAGAGTGCCAGACTATTTTCCAAGTGGCTGTTGTGGCTTGTCTTTCACTTTGCTGTGGTGGCTATTGTTGAACAATATTTTAAATTAAAAGTCAAATTTATTTATTTATTTACTTTTTTTGGTCTTATAGTATCTTGTTTAAGAAATTCTCCTCTATAGTTTCCTAAACTTCAAAATTTTTTTTCCTTTTCTATTTAGGTTTTTAATCTACCTGGAATTAATTTTTGTATATAATAAAAATCAAGAGCATTTATGTTATTTGTTATTTATTTTTCAGTAAAGGTGGCCAATTGTCTCAGTGCCATTTATTGAAGATATCATTCATTGTTTGTTGGTTTGTAACACACCCTCTGTCACGTACCAAGTTTCCAGGTAAAAGTGAATATTTTTATTGAGGAGGATTTTTTTTACCATTTTATTTCTTTAATGGCTTGATTTATTCAGGTTTTCTACTTCTTAAGACACTTTTGGTAATTTTTATTTTCTAGAAATATAAAATTTATCTAGGTTTTTAAATTTAAAAGCGTACTGCTTGTCATGACCTATCATGGCTTTTGAAGTCTTGATTTTAGTGTTTATCCCCTTCTACATCCCCAAGTTTGGGCATTTATGCCTTTTTTCTTGTCTTTTTTTCTTGAGTCTTTTTAGAGAGACAAATTTTCTCTTCCTTTATCTTTTCTATTGTTTTCTTGTTTTTTATTTCATTAGTTCCTATTCTTAACTATAATATTTCCTTTTTAAAAATCTTGTTTCTATTTATTCTACAGCTTCTTTTATTGATTCTTGAGTTAAACATAGCTCCTTTGTTTTCTAATTTTATTTTAATTATGCGTTTTTGTTACAAATCCTCTTATCACTACTCTTCTAGTTACATAATTTTTATATGCAGCCTTCAATTACAATCCAGGTTAAGTATTTTGTAAATTCTAGTGTGACGTCTTCTTTTACAATGAGTTCTTTAGGAATACATTAAAAAATTTCTAACGCGTTTATTTGTCTTATTGGTTTTGAATTGATTTTTATGGTTGCTCTCTAACTTAGTTTTACCACAACAAGAAAAAATGGTCTATATAGTATTGAAGTTTGTTGTTTAGACTTTTTTCTCTGTGTTCTATTATTATAAAGGATTCATGTAAAATAGAAAATAATGCATTTTTTTTTGTATTTACTGGTTGAAAACTCTATGTACATTTATTAGAAAATGTATTGATTCGGTTGCTCAAGATTTCTATCCCTTAATATTTTATGTACTTGTTTCTAAGATAAGTTTGTTAAAAATATTCGACCATAAAACAAAACTGAAAACAAACCTCACATTTTTTCTAATTTTGTCTTTTTCTGTATTGTATATTTTGAGGTAACTTTGTTAGGTTTGTATACATTCATTCATTGCTACATTTCTTTGGTTCTTTGCTTTCTTAATATATGTAATATGCATTCTATGTGGATATTATATATGGTATATTACATATAAATTATGCATACCTTTAAAATTATTGGGTGTTACACTTTAGATTTTAGTTTGTCTCATATTAATAATACTACACTAGCTTTTGTTGTAGGTAGTTGTACGGTTCACCTTCCATGCTTTCATTTCAACCTTTCTAAATGATTTCGCTTCAGATGTGCTTCTTCTGCTTTTGTTGGATTTAAATCTATTCGTACGATTTATTTTAGTAGGTGGACTTATTATTATTATTATTTTTTTTTTTTACTTTTTGTCTTAAAAGCAGATCCTGAAAGAAAGAAGAAGGAGCCAGAGCAAGGGAAAATGGAAAGCAAATAGAAAGCCATAAGACAAGGCTCACCCTTGACAGGCGTACTCAGTCGGCCTGTTGGCCCGTCCCCACAGAGGCGGTGTAGAGACACACACTCCAGGGAGGGAAGGAGAGGAAACTTATGTATCTCTTGGCTCCTTCCTATCGCCTATCTAGTCAAACTTGCCCACTGGGGATTTAACTCTTCTGAACTTCACTTGGAGTTACCTGGTCTGTACACTGGGGCATAAAGTGCCAACTGAGTAGGAGAAGACAGAGTGTGGGCAGTGGCCTCCACCCACAGATGCACAGAGTTGGCTGTTACTTGGCAAGGTCTGCAGAGGAGTAAGAAGCTGCCTCCAGGAGACAGATGAGGTCAGTGTGTACAAGATACATCTCATATATTGTTTGCAAGTATGTATTTGTATATTTTTATCATATTATTTCGTATTTAATGTTTTCTCTTCCTTACTTCTTTTCCTCCTTTTCTTGCCTTGTGTTGAATACAAAAATTTCCCTACATCTATCCTGACCCCCCTACTTCCCCTGATATGGCAATTTGGAAAACAGACTGCATTTTTTTGTCTTATAGTAGTTATCCTTCAGTTTTTCATACTTTTTACTACATTCATACACCTAAATTCACATTTTTTCCTAGTATAGTTAAGTCATTCAATATCTATCTTCTTTCCAAACATGACAAAGACTTTAACACTCTTTTACTGCTCATTTTGTACACCATTCTCACAGTTATTGTCATATCTCTTTTACCTATTATTATTTTTTTATTTTTTATTTTTTGGGTACTGGAAATCAAACTCAGGACATCGCACTTGCCAGGCAGGCACAACGCCACTGATCCCTTACCTATTTTTTTTTTTTAAATCTCTTTCAGTTAATAAATAACTAAATTTACTCATATTTTAGTTCCTATTTCATTACCTTCCCTTTAATTTCACTTTTTTCTTGTTGAAGTAGATCTTTTAGTAGATCTTTTTAATTTTTTAAATAGTTGGCCAGTTTTTGTTTTTGTTTTCTGTGTATTTTTGGCCAGCCCGAGAGATCAAACCCAGAGCCTCACACAGGCAAAACAATCACTTGGACGTTGAACTACATTCTCAGCCCTATTTTTATTTTTCAAAATGGTCATAGTGTTTTAGATGTACAGAAAAGGTTGAAAATAAGTACAGAGATTTCCCGTATGCCCTGTACAGTTCCCCTATTCTTAACATTTCACACTAGAATGACATGTTTGTTATAATTAAGGAACCTATATGGATGCATCACTACTAGTTCAAGTCACACTTTACTCAGACATCTTTAGTTTTTACCTAACATATTTTTTCTGTTCCAGGAGGCCGTCTAGGAAACTACCCAACATTTAGCCACCATGTCTCCTCAGGATCCTTATAAATGTGGCATTTCTCAGACTTTACTTTTTATGCCCTTGACAGTTTTAAAGAGTACTGGTTATTTTGTAGGGTGCCCTACTGTGGAGATTTGTCTGAAGACTCGGGCTATGGTTTTTTTGGAGGAAGACCAGGCACACAACGTACTATCAGCATGATCTGTGACTGTTGATGTTGGCTTCCATCACTGGCTGAGGCAGTGTTTGTCAGGTTTCTCAACTGTAAACTCCTCCCTGCCCCTTTTGCTTTGTGAACATTTGGAAGGAAAATGGCACGTACAGTGCACATTGGAGTGGGGAGATGGGGTTCCCCTTTCTTCAGAGTGTAGTATACACATTATTAGAGATTCTTCTTTTTGGGAGATCTCTTAAAAATCACTTATTATATTTATTCAATCATTTATTTATAAAATATTGGCTCATTACTATTTATTTTATTTTATTTTTTTGGTTTTTCGAGACAGGGTCTCACTATGTAGTTGACACTGACCTATAACTCTCTATGTAGCCCAGGCTGGTCTCGAACTCACAGCAATCCTCCTGCCTCAGCCTCCCGAGTGCTGGGATTACAAGCATGCGCCACCACTCCCACCCCTTACTATTTATTTTATATTTTGGATTTAATCTGATACACCTTATTTATTTTGTTGTTTAAAGTATTCCGGCAGTTTCTATTTGCCCTGGTGCTTCTTTGACATACCCTCTTCAATATGTCTCTTACTTTATGGCGCTACAAAGAGGCTCCAGAATCCTCTGGTCTAATTCCCGCTTCACTCTGAGATTCATCCATTCATTCATTTTTCTCTAGGATCTTTGGTTCCTTTTATTGGAGAATGGTATTAGATACCAAGATCTGAACTTTATGTGTGCTATTGCTGCTGATGTGTCATTTCTTTCAGGGTCTCTCAGCTGATACAACAAAAATTTTCTGTGTTTATATTAAGCGATATGTTAGTGCGGGTTCTCCACAGAAACAAATGGGATATAACCAATGACCAATGAACCAATGTACATAATACATACCTGCATCAGTTTACTATAAGCAATTGGGTAATATGATTATCAAGGCTGAGAAGTTCGAGATCTTTAGATGACAATGTGAAAAACCAGGAGAACAGATGGTCTAAGTTACCATCCAAATCTGAATCTAAGTTGAAGGCAGGAGAAGATATCAGGACTGGGATCCAACTCAGGATCTTGCTCTTGCCAGGCAGATGGAGTGCCTGAGCTAAATCACTAGCCCGGGAGATGATATCCGAATCTACTGATTCAAATGTTAATCTCACCCAGAAATGCCATCACTGACATGCCCAGAAATAATTCTAGATAAATATCTGGGTACCCCAGAGCCCAGCCAAGTTAACACACAATATTAGCCTTTGTGATGATTCCATTAATATTTCTGTAATTAACCATTTACATCTGTATTAAGCTAACCATGAGTTCATACAGTCATGTCCCACTCTAATAGAAGTTATCGTAACTCTCACCACAACAGTGAGGACCGTGGCTCCTGACATCACCCACCTATTTACTGACTGTCCTGTCCGAGAATACACATATTTTGATGTCAGAATTGTTGACCCAGACCTCTGTGAAGAGCAACAACTTTATCATTTAGAGTGCTCAAGGGCAGTCCCTTCTGGTCTTCAGTTTTACCATTCAAATACCTTTCAAAGGTATTGAGGTCAGCACCTTTTTTAGCAGCCCTTTCAGTAAGGCTGTTTCAGGCCTTTATAATACTGTTAGATTTTCTTATCAGAGTTTGCATTCTTTCCTGTGGTCCCTGACTTCCTAGTTGATTTTTTAAAATTTGCATAAAGTTCCACTGTTTTGTGTTCTATGGATTCGACAAATATATATTGTAATGTATCCAGCATTACAATATCATACAATATAGTTTCACTGCTCTAAGATATTTCTTATTCTTTCCCTATTTATTGCTTCTCCCTACTCCCAAGTCCCTGTCAAACACTGATCATCTTGTTGTCTATAATTTTGCTTTTTCTGAAATGTTATGTAATTGGAATCATAAACTACGTAGTTTTCCTACTGTCTTTTTTCATCTAGCAATGTGCACCCAGATCTTTTCGTGGTTAATGGCTTGTTTTTTATTGCTACATAATATTCTTTGTATGCGTGTAGCACAGTTTATTTATTCATTCACCCATTAAAGGACATGTAGGTTCCAGTTTTGGGAGATTATGGTTAAAACATCTAAAAACATTCCCATGCATGTTTTTATGTGAGCATGAATTTTCAAATCTACTAGGTAAAGTGTTTCGGAGTGTGATTGCTGGATTGTCAGGTAAGGCTGTATTTGAGTTTCATGCTCTACTGACTGAGCTAGCCAGGCACCTGGCCATATTTAGATTTCCAAGACATCATGAAATTATCTGCTGAAGTGGCTGCACTATCTTGCATTTCCATCACCACTGAGTAAGACTTCCTTTAGTTTCACAACTTGGCCAAAAATTGGCATTGTTAGTTTTTTTTAATTAAAAATTTTAGCTGGGGATTTAGCTCAGCGGTTCAGTGGCCTGCCTTGCAAGCACAAGGACCCGAGCTCAATCCCCGGTACCCCCCAAAGAAAAAATTTTTTTTGGCTATTGTAATAATTTTGTTGTTTAATGGCAAATCTCTGATGACATATTAAGCAAGTTTCACATGATTGTTTTTATTTATATATATTTAAGTGAAGTGTCTACTCATGTCTTTTGTCAGCTTTTAAATGAGTTTATTTTCTTATTGTTAAGTTTTCAGAGGTTGTCTGATGTTGCTGTATCATTTGGATAAATAGTTATTTGTGGGTTTTGGTTTGGTACTGGGGATTAAACTAAGGACATTGCACTTGTGAGGCAAGTAGCAGAACCCCTGATCTAAGTCCTCAGCCCTGCAACAGTTATTTGTTTTGCAAATATTTTTTCCTATTCAGTGATGTGTCTTTTGATTCTCTTAATGGTACCTTTCATAGGGCAGAAATGTTTAATTTCAATAAAGTCTCCTGGATGATGCTTTTGGTGTGGTATCTAAAATCTGAAGCCAGGTGTATAGCTGTCATCCTAGCAATCAAGAAGATGAAGCAAAAGGCTTCCTTAAGGCGAGGAAATTTGAGACTGGCCTGTACAACATAATGAGAACCCTATTCCATCAGAAAAAAAAATTTCATTGCCAAATCTAATGTCACATAAATTTTTTCATGTATTTTCTTTTATAAATTTTATAGCATTGCACTTTATACTGTTTATGATCAATTTTTTTGAGGGTAGTGGGGATTGAACTTGCGACCTTGAGCTTGTGAGGCAGGCAGCAGCACCACTGAGCTAAATCCCTCGCCCAAGTTTATGATCAATTTTGATTTAATTTTTCTGAAGGTGTAAGGTCTGAATCTAAACTCTTTGTTTTTTCATTTTGAAGTCCAATTGTTCTAGCACCATTTATTGAAAAGATTATTCCTCTTCACTGAATTGTCTTTAATCCTTTGTCAAAGATCAGCTTGCTACATTTCTGTGGGTTTGTTTCAGGGCTTTCTATTTTTTCTTTATTCTCTTATCAAGACAATGCTATCTTTATTAATTTAGGCTTATAGAATGTCTTGGAATTGGGTAGTGTCAACCCTCTAATTTTGTTCTTCACGTGTTGACTTGCGTGGCAACTCTGGGTTTTGCTTTTCTGCATAAACTTTAGAATTAGTTTGTTATTCACAAAACAGCTTTGTGTAATCTTGATTGGGTTTACAGTGAATCTATAAATCAAATGGGGAAGATGAACTCATAGTCATTTTGAGTTTTTCTGTCCACAAATGATGAATATCTCTCCATTTATTTCTGCATTTTTTCATCTTGAGACTTTCATCAAAATTTCATAGTTTTCCTTATATATATCATTGCAGATTTATATCTAAGTACTTTTTTGTGCTACTGTACATTGTTCTTTTAAAAAATTCATCCAATGATTTCTTAGTGAT